ATTTATGGATCTAAAGACCCTAAAACTGGTAGAACAGCAGCAGCAGTAATCCCAGAATTCCATTATGAGTGTGAGATGAGCCTGAGTGATGATTTATCAGTGTTTGCATGTGAGATGATGGCCATAGAGTTATTGTGTTACAGTGGGTAGAGGACGTCAGGCCAGAGAGAGTGGTGATTGCATCAGACTCATGTGCAGTGCGAACGAGTTTGACATTTTGCCACTCCAGAAGCAGAGAGGATTTACTGTTTGAAATTCTACAATCATTTTTAAGAATCCATCAAATGCGGATAGCGGTTAATTTAGTGTGGGTCCATGTTGGAGTCGATGGCAATGAGAAGGCGGATAAAGCAGCAAAAAGGGCTTTGAAGAGTGGGAGAAATAACGTTAATGTAAATATAAGTAAGTCAGAAGCTAAAGTGGTGATTAAGGGACAAATCAAAAAGATATGTCAGAACGAATGTAAAGGGAGTAAAGGAAGATATCTGTTTAAAAATAAATCATTGGTTGGGAGGGCAGGATCTAGTGGATGAACTAGAAAAGAGGAGATGATTATGACAAGACTAAGGAATGGCCATACTGGTCTGAAAAGTTCCCTCGATGTTATTAGAAAGCATAATAATGGAAAGTGTAAATTTTGTGGAGAAGAAGAAACCGTGGACCATGTTTTATTGTCCTGTCAGAGGTACGAGTCAGCGAGAGAAGTTTTGAAAAAAAGGTCTAAGAGTGATTGGAGAGGAAAGCTTGAGTGACAAATGTTGGAAACGTTTTCTGGAATATTTAGAGTCAACAACACTAATGAATAGAATTTGAGAAAGAAATGTATTATTATTTTTTATATATATATATATATATATATATATATATTTTTTATTTTTTATTTTATTTTTTTTTTATTTATTTATATACATATCGTTATTCATTTACACACATATGTATATGTATGTGTATGTATGTATGTGTATATGTATTTATTTTCGTTTGGTTGTCGTGTTAGAGTCCTTAGTCCACACTCCAGATTAGTGGGAGGCGGTAATGCACCCGAAAGCTGTTTGCCAACCGCCAAAAAAAGCAAAAGAAAGAAGAAGAAGAAGAAGAACCAGGCGGCTGAAAACGGTCCGACTTGAACGCAGTTCTTTGTCAACGCCCCTTTCTACGTCCGCCTGCTCTCGTCTGCTTTCCAGGCGAGGCGCAGTTCAACTCGAACGAGCCTGAAGTCGTCTGGACCCGAGCAGCGTGCCACAGCTTCAGTGTGTTTGTCGTGAGAGTCAACCCAGTCGGAACTTTGATATGAAGGACCACTAGCTGAGTGCTAACTACGTTTAGCTTGTTATGCTCAGCTGGTAACGTAACGCTATCTGTTACCCTCACCAAATACGGATGGTAGGGTAACTAGCCTCTCTTAAATACCGAGCTAACTGTTGTTCTCGCTGTGTTGTTACTTGCCTGAGGAGACACTCGACTTGGATAGTAATATAAGTTACAAACCGGTCACCCAACCGCTAGGGAAGAGGTGACGGTGACCTTCCGTGTTAGTGAATGGACATTAACTTAATGTGGTCCCAGGACTGACTCGGTATGTCTACGGACCTATAGAGCTCCCATTCAACACGTGCAACTGGACATGTACTTGAGTTTATGGTGGTGTGTGCATTTATCAGAATGAGTCGTCGCTCTGTGGTGAACTTGGTGCGCCTTGGGACTCGAGCTGTCAGCCTGCTGAAAGGAAGCTCACTTCGCCCCTTCCACACTTCAGTACACACCGCCTCGTCGCAGCCGAAAGCTGGATTCAAACCAGGAAAAGTAGCAGTTGTTACAAAGACGACGCGATATGAGTTCGAACAGCAGCGGTATCTCTATGCAGGACTGTCTGAAGAGGACTTAAAACAACTGGTAAGATTGGCTTTCGCTTCCAGACATGCTCGTGACCTCTCGCACTGAACCAACTCTCACCGCTTCAGCTGTGTCTGTCTTGCAGCTCGCTATGAAGGGCTCCAGCTACAGCGGCCTGCTGGAGAGACACACCATCCACACTAACAACGTGGAACACATCGTGAAGAGCCTGCGGTAAGATGTGGCTTTGTCACGGGGAGATGATCACAGCCACACTCTCAAGAAGACGACAAGAAAGCTTTAGTTGTTTGCAGCAGGGCCACTGCTCTTAAAATATGATTTTATAAATATGCGATTGCAGGAGAGAAGGCATCGAGGTACGAGTCGTGAAGAGAGGAGAATATGATGAAGAAGTAGTGCGGTGGGCAGATGCCATTATCTCTGCTGGAGGTAGGAATTTGACATTTGAACATTTGTTTTTTTGTGATTCAGCCTCATACTGTGACATTGATTCATTACAGTATGCAGGAATACATGCCATTCATTCCAGGGAAGTCAAACTGTGTAGATGTAGTCTTTTACGGTTAATATCTATACGTCTGTTGAATAAGTGAATGCTGAATAAAAGAATCTTCGATGTATAGAATTGGGGGGGGGACTATAACTTATTCAACCCAGGGGGCAAAAAGTCACATGAACAAAGGCTTCAGACAACACATGCAAATACACAATACAAGTTCTCTAACTACAGTTTGTTTTGTTAGGTGATGGGACAATGCTACTTGTTGCCAGTAAGGTTTTAAGCAAGGACAAACCAGTTGTCGGCGTGAACACAGACCCTGAGAGGTAAAGCACTGAACAGAACTGTTTGAGCAGGGCTTGGATTGTTAAATGTGGAAAGAACAATCCGACCTGATGTACTGTGGCTCTTTGAAGCGCTCGAGAGTCCAACATATAATGTCATTACTCCACGTTGTTCCTTTTTGAACACTCCCCTTATATTTCTCCCTTTCCACTGTAGGTCAGAAGGTCATCTGTGCCTGCCTGTGCGCTACACTCGGGCCTTCCCAGAGGCTCTGGAGAAACTCTGTCGTGGTGAGTTCAGGTGCGTATTTACCCAAAAACAATCTCAGCGCTGTTGTACTGTGACTTTCTTCTAGTGAGAATGCTGCCCTGTCACTTAACTTCAACCAGCTTTTCCCAGCTCATTAGTGACAACTTACAAGTCAGTTACTTAGTAAGCTACTTTACGAGCAAAAGTATATATTTAATAGTAATGTCACGGGTCATGCAGGAAATCTCAACAACTTGTGCTCATTGCTCTGTCCTTAGCTTAGAGTTCAAGAGCAGTTTAATCGTGTGTTGTCTGGAAAAGTCACATGGTTTTATAACCCCACTGCTGTGTCTTCAGACTCTGTGGGATTGCTTAAATCCAGTTACTGTGTCTGTAGAAGTCTAAAGGTACTAGAGGTCATGAATCAGAGATTTACTCTAAACCTGCTGCTCAGGGTTTATATTGAAGCTGATGTCGTTGCAGCTTTTAGTGACACTCTCCTGTAAGAACTGATTTGGTGATTTTCTTATCAAAGATATCAGTTGAGATTAGTTCCTGGATTCATTTGTGATGTCAGGTGCAGTGGTGTATAAAGTACCCAAAAGCCATACTTGAGTAAAAGTAAAGATACCTTACTGGAAAATGACTCCAGTAAAAGTAAAAAGTCACCTATTAGAATACTACTTGAGTAAAAGTCTTAAAGTATCTGATATTTATTGTACTTAAGTATCAAAAGTAATTTTCTGATATTAAATGTACTTAAGTATTGAAAGTAAAAGTACAAGTAA